CCTCAGGAGTAGGGGTGGAGGTAGTACTTCGACTAAGAGATAACTGTCCCATAGTAGGGCGACCGTCGGGACGCACTATTTCCGCCTTCTTCTTCTTCCCCTTAACCTTACGTGGATTTTTTTCTTCATTTTCTTTTCTACCGGTCGCTGTAAGTCTACAAGCACGACCTTCCATTCTTCCTTCCGTTTTTTCTTCCATTCTTTTCTTATTCATGTACGGTTTGCCTATTCCATGTCCAGACATCTTCAAAAAAAAAAAAAAGATTTACAATTAATGATAATCAAATGCATTAACATTTTCTGATAATTTTCTCTAATTTTTTTAACTTTTTGATAATTTATTATTAACATTAATTACAAAATTCTTAGTCTTTTTGTCTAATTTCAACTACTTTTTAATTTTCCCATTATTCTAATATTTTTGTAACATTAATTACAAATTTATAGATTATATTTCTAAATTTTGATACTTTTTATAAATTTCAGATAATTTTTAATAATTTTTATTACATTATTCACAATATTTTTTTCATAATCATAAAAATATTCGAATTTAATTTTTATAATAAATTATAAACCGTACAACTTATTTATAATTAACTACAATTATTTCTAATTATTACATAATTCACAATATTTAATAACAATTTTTATTAATTAATTGAATTAAAATTATTTAAAAATCAACCAAACCGAATGTTGACTTCGGTTTGACCATGGCTCAACCGAAGTCTTCGTTCGGTTGCAGGCGATGCGGAACGCGGAGCTTTACCTTCTTCTCCGGCGAGCACGGACGGCAGGCGAGAGGAGGGCTGACGGCGACGGCTGGGCGACCACGCGACAGCTGGCGCTGGGGGCGAAGACGGCGACTGCTGGCGACGACGCTGCGCGACTCCAGCGGCGTGGGTTGCGGCGGCGGACGACTCCGGCGGCGTGGGCTGCGGCGGCGGACGACTCCGGCGAGGGTGGGTTGCGCTGCTTGTTGTCGGGGGGGGTGGGTGGGGGGGGGGGGGGGGGGGGGGGGGGGGGGGGGAGTTGTCTGTTGTCTGTGTCGGGGGAGAGGAAGGGGGTAAGGGGTTGTTTGCTTAGGGTTTATTTTTGAATTTTAGAAAGGGTAATTCAGTAATTTACGTATTAAGTTATGACGATAGTTAGTAATTTTTAGGACGACCTTTAACCCTCCAGTATAATATAAGAGGGAGGCGGTGGAAGTAATAGATCCGTCGATTTGAATCATCCACCCAGCTCGTTGTCACTGAGCGTCGAGAAGCTCCCGCCAACGACACGGCGGCATCATCGTCGCCAACGACTTGTCTCCGTGAGTTACCGCCGCCATCAATCTCGGCCATCAAGAGCCGCCGTCCAAATCGGCGAGAGGAAGAAGCCGGAGCATTCGTAGGCCGAAACCCAATACCGGGTCACTAGTCGTCGCATCAATCAATGACCACGGTGCTGGTCGCTGCCGCATATCTGCTTCTCAAAAGTCGCCCTCTCCTAGTCACGGCTGCCGTCGCCGTTCGACCTGCCGTCGGGTCACAAGATCTCGCCACCAGGGAGAAGTGAGAGAAGGAGCATCCGAACTCCGCCTTCGCTGGTGAGTCGCCATCCTCGCCCATCTCCGCCGTCGCACTCCTAACTTCTCGACCGCCATCATCACTATCGGCGGATCTAGGGCTGGACCAACCCGGCCCACGACCCAGCCCTCTGCTAGATCCAGAGCTAGTATAGAGCTTATAAATTCTCGATTTTAGGTATTCGGCCCAGTATTATTTAATGATCGTTCGAATGTTATTTGATAATTTTGTGCAGTTAGAAAAATAGTCGAAATGAACATATGCAAACCATTACTCTCAGTTTAGTCTAAGAATTCTAGCTCGAATGATTTTCATTTAAGAAAACAATAAAACCTAAAGGTCTAAAATGTAAAAGAGTGTATAAAGTTTCATTGAAATAAGAAAACTCTCTAAAAAAAATTGATTTGTTGGTTGATTCGTCTAGTGTTGAACTTGCCCATTTCAACGTCTACCATGGAGAGAACATTTTAAGCAATGAAATATGTGAAAACTAATTTGCGCAACAAAATGCTCGATGAATTTCTAGTTGATTGCTTAGTTATTTTCTTTGAGAGAGAGTATGTTATTGATATGTATGGAGATTCTATATTATTGATGGATTTGCATAATTAAAAAAACTTCTATTACAATTGGCATTGTAATGAATGAAAACTATTGTTATCATATATTTTTGGGTAAATACAATTTATTAGTCAAACCTTTTAGACTCTCCAAATTATTAGCCAAACCTTTCGAAATACAAATATTAGCTAAATCTTTTGTAACGCATCAAAATATTAGCCATTTGTCTGTTATCGTTGGTAATTTTGTAACTATTTTTTATTTGAAATACTAAAATTTTAAAATGTTGACTATTTTTGTTTACGATATATAATATTATATTAAAATGCGGCCCAGTGCTCTACTGTATTCTGGATCCGCCGTTGATCATCACTCCGCCGCTTCCAGCCTTCGTCAGTCGCCGCTCCCGTCGAAAATCTCACCATATATCATCGTCGCCGGCTGTGAATCCGGTCTCCGCTGGTCGAGATAGAAGAGAAGGAGAAAGGGCGATGGAGAAAGAAGCAGGCTGAGAGGTGTCCGACTTCTCTGTTTGTCGCGAAAGAAGGAAAGGGAATAGTGGCCCTTGTAGAGAGAGAGAGAGAGAGAGAGAGAGAGAGGAGCGGCGGATTACCCAAGGTTCCACGATGGAGTTTCCATTTCCCCATCGGGCCGGACCAAAGAAAGAATGGTACTCTCTCCACCATTTTCACCTAGGTCCATCATCAATTCTCACGTCGAGACCCATTTGTTGGGCTTTCAAAACTCAAACAATCATTTGGGCTTTCAAAACTCAGTCATCAGATCGATCACAATGTCAAAAGTGTCGATTTGTCTATCAAGTTGCTCGAAGAGACGAAGTCAGCAGTCTCCAAATCAACATCGTGCAAAATGTCAGTCGTCGTGACCTTTCTCTTCAAACTCGGCATTCTTAATATTCATCTCTTCGTTTGAGGGGGGTGAAGGAAATCATCAATGATAGCTACAACATTCACCACTATCCACCATACCATCACCATTTATTCACCTCTACCAGACAACTGCAACAGAATACCCATGTCACTCCAGAAGTCCCATGCTACTTCCAGACAACCCATACTACTCATGGCAACACCCATACTTTCAGCATGTTCCTTCTTATTGTTTATTATCTTTCCTCTTGTATAAGTAGAGTAGGAAACCTTCTGTAACAAATCAAGCATTCAATCAATAACAATACTCAAAGTTTGCTTCAACCAAATTCATCAATAATCGTTACACGGATAAACATAAAGATAATCGATGGTTCACGGTCATATCATTAACTGATTATAAGTTAGCGGTGTGGTCATCAATAGGTTGAACTGGCTTCTAGCGTAACCGTAACCGAATAATCGTACAACAAGCCATACTTAAATCTATGAAAAAAATTATACAACAACACATAAAATATGTAGGAAAAATCTACAAAATGGAAAATGCTCAATAGAAAAAAAGGGAGCCATTATGTTGGTTCGACTACAGATAAATTTTTTTTGTCTAATTTTGTTGAATCTCTTAATAAATAGTTAGCCGATTAAGATAGTAGTCGATAATCCCCCTACCATTTATTTTGGTCTTGTTCTCTCTTTTCTTTTTTCTGGTTTTCTTCTTTGCAACAGGAGCGGTCCACTTAGTTGCTTTTTCTTTTCCTTTGGTTTGTGGTTGTTGTTTTTGGTTCAGTCCTTCTGAGCCAATGCAGTTTCGTACTATTGTTCTCGCTTTTTATTTAGTTAATGTACTTCGACCACCATTATCAAAAAATAATCCCCTATCATTCTTTTTTACCCCACATTAGGAAGAAGTGGTTGTCTTATTTGCAAAGTTGACGGATCCAAAAACAGATAATCGATTGTATTATTATGATTAACCAACTAATATAAACAATATGGTTAACAATAAACGAAAATTGTTTAATGGTTAACCGATAATCACACAAACAATTACAGTTATAATCGAACGGACTAACAAGGTAACGCACGTATTAAAGCCCACCCTTCTTTTTTGTCAATCGATCACTCTAACAAAAGAGGAAAGAACCAAGATACAAAGTCGTTTACAATAGTAACAATTATCTACTATGATACCAGGAAACGAAATCAAACCCCTTTAACATACGGCGCGACAACAACAGAGCACATCGGGCCACACAGTGAGCCACTCTGTTTTGAGCACGTCCAATGAACAACACCTTAGAACCAGACACCTCCGCTAGAAGCTCGTTTATTTCTTTAAGAATTGAGTTGATCTTTGCGTCAAGCACATCCCCTGCATGGCATTTGTCAATCAATACCTTAGCATCCCCAACAATTGTGACCTCCGTAATGCCCCGACGCAAACAAGCAATCAAACAATCCCTCAATGCCAAAGCCTCCAACAGCGGCGGATCCATGACACAGCGTAGCAGTGGGCCGCATTTCATTAGAAAATTAGATATCGTAAAAAAATCACAGTTTTTTTTACAATATCAATTGTACAAGTCAATCTTTTAAATTTTAATATAGTGAATTCATCAATAATAGAGTTTACATCCACATCAATAGCATACTCTCTTTAAGATAAAATAGTTAACCAATTGGAGAGAAATTAATCATTCATTTTGTTGCGCAAATGTCAACACAATCGACTAATCAATTCCTATTTTCAACAGCTGCTCAAGTAATTTCTTAAGAGAATAAACCTCATATTTCTTTTTGTCTTTTACGTTTTAGAAGTTTAGATTTCATTGTTTACTTTTCTTTATATGAGAATTATTGGAGCTAGAATTTTCAGGCTAAATTTGGAGTTGTGATTTGAATATGTTCATCTTACCCATTTTCCTAATTACACACAATTTTATTATAAAATAACACTGGGCCAAATGGTTAAATCGATAAACTCATAAGAGCTATACTAGTTCCGGATTCAGAGGAGGGCTGGTCCGTGGCCCGGGTGGCCACCCCTGGATCCGCCACTGGGCTCCAACACTATGCATCATGAATGTTAGCATAACGTGAAGCTTCAGCTGCTACCAAATCCCCCGTCGCATTAAGGAATACAAAAGCAGCAGACAGCAGTCCCAAAAGTCTATACTTTAAAGCCCACCCATTAATTAGACAAGTAGACATCATATCTGAAGCCAATACGGGCCGAGTTAGGCCCAGGCCTGGAGGATATCCAAAGAGAAACACGGGGTGGGCTGGACACGTGTTGCCATGGCGGCGTAAGCAATACATAATCCTGCCTGCCAGGAACTACATCATGAGAGAGAAGACCGGGCGTCGGAGAGGTAATGACGTGGCAACCTGTTATTGGTTCGCACACGTAACTCGCTCGCAGTCGCAGCTGAGGGTTTTTAGTTTTTCCACGTTTTTTTCCTCCTCAGCCGTCCCGCCCCGCCCCATTTCCCCAAGGGAGAAAGGTTGCTCCGATTTTGCCCACTGTGATTCGAAGTGAACTGTGGAGAAGGTGACGAAAAAAGAAGATGTTCCGGTCCCGATCGCTGTCGCTGCCACTTCTCGCGGCGGTTTCATTGCTTTTCTTCGCATCCAAGCTCTGCTCTGCACTCTACAGTGCGTCCACTCCGGTAGTTCAGCTCACTCCTTCCAACTTCAAGTCCAAGGTAAACACACCTGTATAAAGGAAAGAAGAACTGAGTATATGATTTTTGTTTCTTAAGAAGAAGAAAATGGGAATGCAAAGAAGTGTGATCGTCTGCCTTAATCCGAACTTTCAGATTAATTACCATTGCTTTTGATCTCGTTGACCAGATCGGGCTTGTAAACCTCTGTCAAAGCATTTGTTTTCCATTTTCAATCTTCATAATTAGCAATTAGGTTTTAGCATTATCAATTGGAGAGTTGTGGAATTGGTTGAGGTTGTTTCACCTGAGTTCATTGAAGCTTTGCGAGAATTATAGTAGAATTTTGGTGATTCCGAATTCGAGAGTGAATATATAGCAGTGCCTGGATTCTGGATTTGAGCATTGTTTAGTTGAGAAATGGGTTAGTCTATCTCTAGCAAAATTTTGCAGCTCTCGCTGAAATAGGTTGCTTTGTTGGTTAGAAGCTGATTTTCATGTGAACTTTTGAAGTTATGTTATGTAAAGGTGGTGGCTTTCTGTTTGGATACTGTAATTGTATTCAAACTAACCGAGGCTATGAACTTCAGGTTCTAAACTCCAATGGAATTGTTCTAGTTGAGTTCTACGCCCCTTGGTGTGGCCATTGTCAAGCTCTTACCCCAGCGTGGGAAAAAGCTGCCACAGTCTTGAAAGGCGTGGCAACCGTGGCAGCTGTTAATGCTGACGAACACAAGGGCCTTGCTCAGGTAATTTGCTATTCCAATGGATGCTTATTGGACTCAGTTTGCGTGTGTTGCTGAGAAAGTTCTTGCGGGTCTGGAAAAGAATGTTTTCGAGTCTTCGTGTTCTGTTCTGGTGAGTGTTTAATGTGTCATAGTTTCGTATTGGCAGGAATATGGAATTCAAGGTTTTCCGACAATAAAAGTGTTTACTCCTGGCAAGCCACCTGTGAACTACCAAGGAGCTAGGGAGGCCAAACCAATCGTGGAGTTTGGGCTCCAGCAGGTTCGATATGATCCATTGTTGTTCTCTGCAAAGCTTTATACCTATATATGATGTTCTCAGTCTCACCATCAGTTCTTGTGCAGATAAAGGCACTTCTCAAGGACCGGTTGAATGGAAAATCAACCAGTGGTTCTAGTGAAAAATCTGAACCAAATGCCTCAGTAGAGTTGAACGCCCGCAACTTTGATGAGTTGGTGATCAAAAGTAAAGACCTCTGGATTGTAGAATTTTTCGCTCCCTGGTAAGTATTTTAGAGATTCTGCTGCACAGTATGTCATGTCTGCTTGAAATTTATGTTGTATTTTCGGATTTCCTGTTATGCACGTTGGACCTAGAACTAGCAATCATCTATGTGGAATCTGTTAAGATTTCATGCCTCAGGCTTATCCATATAGTGGAACTCTAACACAAAATAATTAAGCATCAAGCAATTCACTGCAGTATGCAAACAATGTGGCTTTCTTGAGCTGTTCATTTCATAATACGGTTTTGAGTATCATTTTCTGGTCCTGTTCAAGGTGTGGACACTGTAAAAAGTTGGCTCCTGAGTGGAAGAAGGCAGCTAGTAATTTGAAGGGGAAGGTGAAACTGGGTCATGTTGACTGCGACTCAGAGAAGGTAAAGTTAATCTTGTATTTTCTACTAACGAACTCGTCATTCATTTTCAGTTACATATCAAACGATAAAAACTGCTCCATGTACACAGCTTGAAAGAGGGGGGAAAACATGTATTATGTGCTCCTAGGTGTCATATCTCTGTTTAATATCTACCTGTACATGTTTACTGCTTGACCAAGATATGACCAATTGTGTTTGGATTATAATGTAGCTAAGCACATCAAATAGATAATTTTAGTTATTCATTTTTCCTTACTGATGTGATTGTTCGCTGGTGCTTTCTTTCTGGAATGGTCTAATTCCACAATAGAATTGTGCTAATACAGTACTTTGTCCTTTTTCAGTCTTTCATGAGCAGGTTCAATATTCAAGGATTTCCAACAATCATGATATTTGGTGCTGACAAAGACAGCCCAATGCCTTATGAGGGTGCTAGAACAGCCTCAGCTATTGAGTCATTCGCGCTGGAGCAGCTGGAAACAAATGTTGCTCCACCTGAAGTAACCGAGTTGACTGGCCCGGTATGCCCTTTGACTATCCGGAGAGGCTTTACTCCTGGTTAATCCTCCATTAACTCCTGATATATATCCACAAAATTCTTTGCACAGGACGTCATGGAGGAGAAGTGTGGTTCAGCAGCCATCTGTTTCGTGTCATTCTTGCCTGATATCTTGGACTCCAAGGCAGAAGGAAGGAACAAGTACCTCGACCAATTGTTATCAGTTGCAGAGAAGTTCAGAAGAAGCCCCTACAGGCAAGCAATCTAACCCCTTCCACTATCCCTTCCCGAAAATGATTGTTAGCTTAGGTCGGAGATCAGGTGCATTAATAGTGCTGGTATGATCGCACCTGAAAATGATTGTTAGCTTTGATTATGCTCAAGGGTGTATAGCGTAAAGAATACATTCTTAAATCAAAAGGGCAACACAGGAAATGAATTATGACTAGTGAAGTATTGTCTTTTAGACTTAAACAATTTGACTGAATAGTTGTTTTAAAGAGTTAGGTTGAATGGATGTGGCTGTTTTAGCTTCTAAGTCGTAACTTTATTTTTTAAGTTACTTAGCCAAAATAAACATACCATCTGTACTAATTGTTGTCCATAAATCCCTGCAGTTATGTCTGGGCTGCTGCTGGCAAGCAACCAAATCTTGAGAACAGCGTTGGCGTAGGTGGATATGGGTACCCAGCTCTGGTTGCCTTGAATGTGAAGAAAGGAGTATACGCTCCGCTTAAAAGTGCCTATGAGCTGGAACACATCAGGTGAGTTCTAAGTTTCATTCCCAAAATGCAATAATCCTTGGCATGACCCACAATGATAATCTCAAACAAAAATCTCTCTTGGTTTCCCCAGAGATTTCGTTAAGGAAGCAGGGCGTGGTGGAAAAGGAAACCTGCCATTGGAAGGCACACCAAAGATCGTGAAGACCGAGCCATGGGATGGTAAAGATGGGGAGATCATGGAAGAAGACGAGTTCTCACTCGAAGAGTTGATGGGCGAGGACTCCGGGAGCAAAGACGAGTTGTGACCGCGAGTAGATGAATTGCAAATCAGCAGTTTTGGTGATCAAGACACAACCTAGTTTTTAGAGTGAAAGTTAGAAATGATGGCTGATATTGATATCTGCAACCAGTTCCAGCCATTGATTTTAAGGGCTATATATCAAGAACGGTTTGTTGCAAGTGATGGTTGTGTGGGACTTTCTGATTGAAGTGGAAGTATACTGTGGTCAGTAAAACTACGTCACCCCTCCATTTTCACCTTTCAATGCTGTTGAATACTACTCTCTGTGGAAAACCTGCCTTGTCATGCATGCCTTGATCCGGCACAATCAATTAAAGCCTTAAGAAACACACATACTTATTTGTCCTCCAAATAATATAAAGAGGTTCTTGTTGAGAACCCCTTTAATTCAATTTTTGCCGGCTCTAGCGCATCTTATGGAGGGGTCTTTTGGTCGTTTCGTTTCCCTTTTTAACTCGTATGTGCCGATGATGTTATTTATTTGCTTCTTTAACTGACCAATGGCATTGTGTAATCTAGGGCTGGTAACCGGTACCGACTTGTAGCCGGTTAACCGGTTACCGAACCACCGGTTATCGATACTAAACCGGTAATTACCGAAACGCCGAGTCAAGGGGAGCAAACCACATTTCGGTTCGGTTAACCGGTAAGTAACCGGTAACCGATTGTTGGCAGAAGGGTGCTGGGAGGCAGGCAGCAGCTCTCGGCCATTTTTTAAAAAAATTCATTGTTTTTTTTTATATATATATTTTATGTACTCAATAATGTAAGTCTTAACTCTTATTAAAAATATTAAGAGTTGTTATAATTTATAACATTACAATTGTCATTTGTCAAACCATAATTGATTTATAAGTTATAATAAGTTCAAACTTCAAATTCTGAAATTCATCAAGTATCATCAAATATTGAAATTGAAATGGACGATAATCAACATAATTGTCAATCAACCAAAGCGCATAATGATTAATGAGTAATGACAATGTCTAAAATCTAAATTCACACAAGTTCAAACTTCAAACTTAATAATAAAAATGGATCTCATCTTAGAAGTACCCAAATAACACAACATAAATAAACGCATAAACTAGTTACTAGCTAGCATCTCATGCTCCTCCTTTTCCGATAGAACTTGTTGTCCCACCACCAACATTAGCATATCCTTTCTTCTTCAAAGTTTTAAGAAGAGTAACGTCGGGATCGTCATCGTCATCGTCATCGTCACTCTCACTCATATCATCACTCCCAGTCTCCTCAGAATCTTCCTCCTCCTCCTTGTCCTCCTCAACAACCCCAGCAGGTAAGCTATGTGCTCTAACTTCAGTAGCAGTTTCCACTCGAGCATGGAAAGTATTAGCCGCTAAAACAAAAAACACAAATATTAATGATTTAAATATGGAATGGCTTAATTAGTTAATTATTAGTAAAGAGTATATACAATAATACAAATAAGAAGAATGAATTGAATTCTTACCATTATCAAAGTCGAATGTCTCCTGATCTTCTTCCTTATCATTCCGTTCATCTACAGTCTTTCCACTTTCATACCTTATCCAATCTTCAGCACAAATCAAGGCCTCTACAATGTTTGGGCTCAAAGATGATCTGAAAGGACTAAGAAGTCGACCTCCACAACTGAAAGCGGACTCCGAGGCAACAGATGATACTGGAACTGCTAATATATCCCTAACCATCTCTGCAAGAATGGGATATCTAACACTGTTCCGAGACCACCACTTCAGAATGTCAAACTTCCGATCATCAAGCTCCTCGTTAACAGCATCACCAACATCTCTCAAATATGACTCCAACTCACCAGATACTCTACCCCCCCTCTCAAGTTGCTCCTTTCTCTTCTGCTGGAACCGAGCTTCAAATGCACCTCCCATAACAGAATCCTCGCCACTAGTCACAATATCTAGAGTAGTCTGAGTAGTAGCTTCGGAATCAGAATGTGAAGATGCATACTTCACCTTGTAGACCTCGAACAATAGTATCATCTCTTTCTTCACCTGATCTGCCAAATCTTCCCCTTTTGACTTTCCATACATCTCTTCCAACATCATAGTCAAATAGTATAGTTTACGTCTTGGATCAAGCACACAGGCCATGTAAACTATCCTATTTATTCTAAGGTTATCCTCCTCATCATTAGCATCATTCTCAAACCAATACTTTCTCACCTTTGCCTCTATTCTTTCTGCCATTCTTTGTATCTGTTCATCTGCATCCTTCTTCAAAGTAGCAATCACTTCATGAATATCAACAATGGCTCTGCCAGAAAGTATGTGCAGTGACATATGATGTACCTGATACAATGAAAAAATGTAAGTGAGAAATCATAAACTTTAACTTTAAGAAATGAATTTTAAAATTTGATAGTTCATTCACATACCTGGTACACGAAGAGTAAGATCATAGAAGAACTTCAGGTATTTCATGAGACGCCTAATGCTGCTCCAATCTTCTCTAGATGGAAGACCCTTCTTGGAGTCCACATAGTCTCGAAAGGAAGCATCAGTAGGACTATCATACATCAGAGAAAACACTTTCTCAAACCTCTCTGCAGACTCCAACATCAGATAGGTGGAATTCCACCTAGTCGGAACATCCAAAGACACAAGTCTTCTACCATCCATCTCTAGGTAGTCGATGCTAGACTTGAACTTTGCACTCTGAGCTGGTGATGACTTCACCCATTTCACACAATCCCTTACCCTCTCCACAGCAACTCCAACCTCTTTCAAACCATCAGAGACGACCAGATTGATTATATGTGCCACACATCTATACTGCAGATACTTCCCATCTAGCAAATCCGATCCCCACCCTTTCAGTTTTGTTCTCATACAGTCAACAAGCACATCATTGGAAGTGGCATTATCCATTGTCATGCAAAACAGATTCTTCACTTTCCATTCTTGTAGACATGCTGCCAAAGTATCTGCAATATCTCTCCCTGTATGACTGGTAATGGGAACAAAACAAATAATCCTCTTCTGCAGTTTCCAATCAGCTCCAATAAAATGTGTAGTCACACACATATAATTCTGGTTATTATCACTAGTCCATGTATCTGTAGTGATAGAAATCCTTCCTTTGCACTTTGAGTTAAAAAACTCAATCAACAGCTCTTTCTTCTCCAGAAAAATGACATAACAATCAGATCTAATTGTTTGCCTTCCAGGTATCACAAACAAAGGCTGTGATACTGCCATAAATCTCCTAAATCCTTCCCGTTCAACAAATCGAAACGGAAGCTCATCCAAGATTATCATGGTAGCTAATGCATGTCTAGCTTTGTTCTGATCAAATTTCCACGGAGTAAGAGAGCCTACCTCACCAGTCCCACTAGCTTGATAGTTTAATACCGACTGCCCACTAGATTCCTTCGACCTCCTCTCGCACATCAGATGGTGGTTTTTCAAACCAGAAGTGCCATTGTTGGTAGAATGAGCTTTGATCAGCGTCCCACACCGTTTGCATTTTCCAAATGGATAGTCATCCACTAGCACCTCATCATAAGGGATCCACCACTTAGACGTCTTCTTCCTCTTACCCTTGTCAATTTTTTTTTGCACACCAGGTACCTCACTAGCAAGACCAGTAGCTGTAGTAGTAGTCGGATTTGCTTCAGATGGAGGTGGATTTGCTGGAGATGGAGGTGGATTTGGTGCAGATGGAGGAGGTGGATTTGGTGCAGTGGAAGGTGCACTCGTTGAAGCCTTCCCTTTCTTTTTCTTAGAAGAGCTTTCTGGACGAGGAGGTAGCGAACCAGCTTTCTTTGATGTTTTCGTCCTACAAAAGTACAAGAAATGGTAACATAATCAGATAATCTCATTAACTTCCCATTAGACCAACACAAATCACAAATGGTAACATAATCTCATTACTAACTTCCCATTAGACTAAGTGACTAACAGTCTATTACTCTATTTAAGTCAAGATGATGCTGACCACTAATCAGTAACCAGTGCAGTGCCTTATTTGGATTTCTGAATTCTGATTTCAATTGGAAAACAACCTCCAGTATGTGACAATTATGGAAGAAGAAAAGCTTTTACAGCTAGCCAAATTATCAATGAAATATATACTGTTTCTGTTTGCATCTCTGCTCATGTTTCTTAATTCTTAGGGATATAATTAAATTCACTAATTCAGTACTCAGTAGCCAAATTAAAGTGTTAAACATCACATATTCACATTCATTCACAATTTCTGAATTTCACATACATTTTTTGATTCTAATGATTCAAGTCAAGTCAATCTTCTGGCTGGCTGCTGCTGTTCACAGTGCGGGTTGGTGGCTGCCTCCAGGCCGCCTCTGTTCGACACCAACACAACACCAAAAGTCCAAAATTACAAACAAATTCATCTCAAACAGGAGGGTAGGGACTGGGGGAAGAAGAAAGATGAAGGCAAGAGAAGGAGAAGGTGACTTACAGAGCGGCGGCGACTGCGGAAGAGGAAGGCGTCCGGCAAGAGCGGGAGGGCAGAGCGTCGGCCGTCTGCAGAGTCGGAGAGGGAGGAGAACAGGGAGGGAAGGGTGGAAGGCGGCGGAGCGGCGTCGCGGGGCGGCAGAGCGGCGACGGGCGAGGCGGCCGCTGCGACTGCGAAGTCTCTTCTCGGCGGCTGGGTGGAGACTGGAGACGAAAGAGAAAGACGATGGAAAATGGAGAGTGGACTGCTGGATGGACGATGGAGGCTTCTAGGGTTTTTTGGTTTTTTTTTCCACCATCCGTCCCTCCCAAAACGCAGCGTGTTGTCCAAAACGGTATCCGGTTAACCGTCCCACCGACGGTATTTACCGTGTGGGGAGGCGGTATACCGAGGCACTGGTTTTACCATTAGACTACCGGGTTTTCCGATTATCGGTATAACCGGTAACCACTGGTTACCGGTTTGGTTACCGGTTATATCGATAACCAGAAAACCGATTACCAGCCCTAGTGTAACCAATAATCATGTTGTATTTGGGCTTTGATTGTAATGTTATTAAGAACATGGAACACGAGACACCTGGGATGTGCAGGTGCAACAAAATCAATGTTTTTAAACCCGGTTGAATGTTGAATCAAAAAAGTTAATGATTTATACTTCAACGGTTAATTATTATAGAAGCGTTGGTTAATCGGTGATAGAACCGTTCATGCGCTATAATGTAAAATACATATATAATACACTATTCTAAGGGTGAATTTATCACTACCTACAAAAAATTTCAAATTCATATCATCTATCACCAACAAGTTGGGAAATGAAAAAATGAAGCATAAAAAAAATTATGTGATTGAAGTCGAATTGTTAAAGTTGACGTTAACGTACGTTTTTATATTAATTTTGTGTGATTAAAATAGTGAACCAGCGAATCACTTAAACCGGGGTGGTTCATCTGGTTTTATGTCAAACCGTGAAATATAAAGCATAAAATGGATATTACCTTACAACTGCATTCATGCTACACCTATCAATCGAAATAATTGTTATAGAAGCGTTGGTTAATCGGGGATAGAACCGTTCAAGCACCATAATGTAAAATACATATATAATACACTATTCTAAGGGTGAATTTATCACTACCTACAAAAAAATTCAAATTCATATAATCTATCACCAAAAAGTTCTAACAAAGTATCTAAACTATCTCACAAAAGAAATCATAATTTTTTTTATTAAATTCAAGTCAATAATAATAGTGAAAATCTGTAATGAACTAGAAAATCAGACAAGGAGGCTGGGAAATGAAAAAATGAAGCATAAATAAAATTATATGATTGAAGTCGAATGGTTTTAGTTTACGTTAACGTACATTTTTATATTAATTTTGTGTGATTAAAATAGTGAACCAACGAATCACTTAAACCGGGGTGGTTCATCTGGTTTTATGTCAAACCGTGAAAAATAAAGCATAAAATGGATATTACCTTACAACTGCATTCATGCTACACCTATCAATCGAATTTTTTTTTATTTTTAACTGTATCAATCACCTAATAATATCAAATTGCACAAGTGAGGCCAGAGCGATCATGCATATTATCAAATCAAACATCAAACAATATGGAAGTTCTCCTCCAGCACCCCTTTAATTCAATTTTTGCCAACTCTAGCGCATCTCACGGAGGAGTCTTTTGGCCATTTCCCTTTTTCATTCCACGTATGTTGTTTGCCAACTTATTCAATATTTGGGTTTATTGACATCTAACACTCACTGGAAAAATTACCAGCAAGGAGGCTCCAACTAAAACTTCCCGAGTATGTAATTCTTTTTTATTTTCAATTTAAAATAATATGCATTACGCTAACTCTAATCGCAAATCTAATATACCATTTAGAGGCAGGTGATTTGTCGTCAAGGTAACTCTCTTTGGTAGGATAGTTACCCAATTAAATGTCATCCTTGTAAATGCGGGAAACCTCCCTCTCTCCCTCTCATCTTGGTTATTATATCATTTTATGTCGTTCTATACAATGGTAAGGAAACATATTTATTATTTTGTTATTATTAATCAAACCATTTGAAAATAAATATGACATTCAATTCAATGATCGCTAAATTTTCAAACGAGAAAACATTCTCCTCATCTAGAGCGATTTTACTGGTGACAAATCCAAGAATTCCAAAATTCATTAATTTTGGGCCAAGGTGAAATTCATGAGAATTTAATCACCGGATTTCGTTTCGCGTTATAAGTAGAAGTTTCAAATAGAAAAAGGGATTGATTATCATTTTTTTTTTGTAAAGAAGTGCCCGACCAACTCTTACAATGAAAAGCACGAAAGCACCTCAACAACTAATTTCGACCAAAACACTGCAAACACTAAATCAATTAAAAATTAAGGTTGGAGAAGTGGTAAGTGTCAATTTCGATTTTATGACCCATTAACTATCAAATGTTAACATTTTATATAATGTGTAGGGAAATATCTTCTATGTTAAAATCAAAGTTATCAAAGTTAAGAAGGGTAGTATTATGTTGGATGTGAAACCTGTCCTCAAAAGTATAAGTTTCTATTGTTTTTTATGTCACTACTAACTTTAGGATTCACCTTCGAGTTGTGGACAAAAGTACTGAGGCTAACTTTGTAGTTATGGATCGAGTGGGAGATGGATTTTTTGGAATACGGATTGAAAGGTTATTCCAATACAACGATAGAATGAGAGGATTACCACCGGCTCGTCTCCTAGAAGTTGAGGGAATGACCCCTAAACCATATCATACTGGCAACCGTCGAAAAAATCCGGGGAGCCGCTTACCATAGACTCATCCAACCAATCAAAACCTACTCCGATCCACATATTTTGGAAAAAAATCCTAAGAAGAAGTAAATAAAATCGTACATTCATTTTTGACACCTTATATTGTAGTTCGATATCAAGCTCACATAATACATAGTTAATCAACAAGTACATGATTTCTAGAATAGCGAAGGATCAGAAGAGTAGAACTTATACGGTATACCATGAGTAAATTATACTTAGTTATGTAACCAAGTATATAGCTCTTCAATATTTATATCATGCACTTCGTGGTTGTACTGTTTAAGCATTTAATTCTATAACTTAAAACTCCAGAGGAACTTTTATTTATTACCCAATAGCATGCATGCAATTGTATACTTGGTTGTATTATTAAGTGTATACGTATTCAATTTTTATACCATATGCACAAATATATGGAAAAAATCCAAAACTACCACCGTTTAAAAAAAAACTACAAAAATACCACCCACTCCAAATAATTTCCAAAAATACCATCCTTTATTTAAAACCGCGCCTCTATGTAGCGGTTTTTACTAAAAGCGCGCTCCCAGGAAGCGTTTTACTTAATAACCGCCCAAGGTAAAGCGTTTTTAATTTCCAGAACAAAACGCTTTTGGAAGGAGCGGTTATAGGCTAACCCTACCATAAAACGCTTTAGGAAAGAGCGTTTAAGTGTCGGCATTACAAACCGCCTCCCCAAGCGGCGGTTTATAGTGTCAGGACACAAACCGCTGCCCCAAGGAGCGGTTTGTGCCTGGTCACCCGACAGCCAACATGTCGGACATGTCGGCATGCAGGGGTAGGGCATGGCACGTAGGGCTTCATGGCAGACCAAAACCGCTCCCCCCCCCAGCGGTTTTGGTGCAAATTTTGCCTATAAAAGGCGGTTTCAGAGAACTCAATTCTTCACACCTCCTCCTCTTCCTTCTTAAAATTTCAGCTTTAAATTATTTAGTTTTTGCGATTAACGTTTATTTGTAAGTTTGTTTCGTAATTACTTTTCATTGTCCTTTGTTATTTTATTAAATCAAGGTTCATTTAGAGAAATATACATTATATAATAAACATTAATATTAGCATAAATAAATAATATTAAAAGATGCAAATATTAATATACATTATCTAATAAATATTAATATTAACATAACTAAAGTAATATTCAAAATTTAAGTATAAATATTTTTGGTACACATAAAATCAAATATATTATTTTGTTAATCGTATTGATTATTTTCAATAATTTAAAGCAATACAAGTACACTCGTAAGACTCTTAGGAGAGGTATACATCTCCTTAGAAACATAGTCTTTTTGACAGAAAAAGGGGGGATCCGAGGATCGCTTAGAACCCGATTTTCCTAGGTCATGGGGGGATCATGATGATCGCTTAAGTCCCCATTTCCTTAGACATGCATTTCTTTATAACAGAGTCTCAATAAGTGTTGTATTGTATTGATTTAAATTATTGAAAATAATCAATACGATTAACAATTAAGTAAATTATTGTACAACAAATAAATTACTTTAACAAAATACAAATTACAAGTGATGATAAATAATATGTACCTTGTGGTCGTTCCAAACGTCTCTTGAACGATGATTTGCTTGATCGTATAAAACTGTCGGATCAATCGGTCCTTGATCAACATAATATCGTTGATTGAAAATATCAACATTCGGCCCAACCTACGATAGCATAACAATAACATAAATCATTAGTATATAAATTAAATAAATCATTATAACAACAACAACAATTGGGAAAAATGAGTACGTACCGTTTGATAATCATCATAAAAAAGACCCTCTTCTTGAGCGAAATCGGCCATTCTCTCGGAATCCGACAGAGTTTCGACGGGTTTTTAGTGAAAACCAAAGAAAAAGTATTTTGGAGGCAGATCGGACTTAGCCGCAACCAAGAAAAAAACTAATTCTAAGGTTGGGTGGGAAGGGGTTGGGTAGAGAGAAGTTAGAGGGAGAGAGGGAGAGAGGTGGATGGTGTGCAGAAAAAAGAAGAAGGGGGGGTTTTTATAGTGCTCAAACCGCGTGTGGGAGGGTCGGTGGAGTAAATGCTCGCCACCACAAACCGCGCCCCCAGAACGCGGTTATAGTTTCCCGACGGTCAAACCGCGCATCAGACACGCGGTTTCATTTTCCCAACGGTCAAACCGCGCCTCGGGCAGGCGGTTTTTGTGGACGACACGGACTGCTGACTTGGCACACGTTTTATCCGTCTAAACGCTTCTCCGATTGGCGGTTTGATGCACCGCCAGGTGGCAACACGTTGTGACAGCCATGCAAGGTCAAACCGCGCCTTGGGGGCGCGTTTTTCCCTTTAACCGCCGCCTGGATTAGCGGTTTTATATGAAACCGCTCATTAAATGAGCGGTTTTAAATAAAGGATGGTATTTTTGGAAATTATTTGGAGTGGGTGGTATTTTTGTAATTTTTTTTTAAAACGGTGGTAGTTTTGGATTTTTTCCCAAATATATGCCTTCTATTTTAAAACATGCACAAGTTACACTTAGTTGTATTCTTTAATTTATAGGCAAATGCAGGTCGTTTATAACATAAAAATCCATTGGAACTTTGCTTCTTTTCACATGATTTTTCCAGAAATACCACCAATTTTTTATTTTCAAAGATACCACTCATTTTTTGGATTTTTTATGAATACTTATTATTTTTTTGGAAAATTTACTCCTTTCACACTAACACGTAAGAAATTGTATCCGGCTACAATTTTAACTCCAATTTATTTTAAACATCATATGTTGTGCCTTTGAATGTAGATGATCTTAATACATAATACTAATGCAAGAGAACAATAGGATACTAATTGGTGGATGCACTAGATCCAGTGCTAGAGATGACGATGATCTTGAGAAGAAGAATCACATTGTTCATGACGAAGATACAAGTACCAGTGATGAGAAGAAAAAAAATCCTTGATATTGTTCAAAATTTGGATGAGGTAAACTCTATTTCGGTGAAGAAGATTATTGGTATTTGTAAATAGTTTTCATCAAATTTTTGTGCTCATTAAAATGCAGGAAAACCAAAGTAAGAGAATATGGAAATGCAAGAGAAGAATGAAGAGGAATTGACAATGGAGATAAATATATCACTAATGGAGATAAAGACAAAAATATTGGTGCAGATGATGATGCTACTCATGACGGTGGAAGTGAAAACAAGTCAAAAAGAAAATGTGGACTAATCTCTAATAAGTTGGAGTAAGTTGAAGGGTGATTTTAAAATGCCTTTAGGAGTCAGTTAGGGTTTGTCTTTCATTTCCGTAAAAAGATTTTAGTCAATGAGTCAGTTTCAATGTCATAAAATACTATATATGATATTGATCATTTTGAATTATTGAAGTACTTTAATAATTTGGATTCTCATATACCAATCAATTTGAATGTTTCATGTATTCGAATAATTTTGATTTTTTTATACTATCAAAACTCGCATATCTAACATTCAATTTAATAATGTTATTTATGTGATTGGCGACTAATCCGGCCAACTGGCCGGGCCCGTAACTAGTATTCTCTTATAAAATTATATAAAAACGTTATCAGGGTGATCAATTCTTGTTTCATCGGTTTTTTAATTCTTAACGAACTAATTCAAAAGGGGCAAGATAAGACAGGATTTTCAATTTCACATCATTTTTATGGAATTTGTAATGCCAATGGGGAACTAACAATGAATAAACATTATCAAAATCACTAATCCAAAATAAAAAAAACTTCCTTCAACATCTCCCACACAAAGTTGACCTCACTCGCAGCTTGGACATCGGTGGGCGGTCCCGCAAACGGATTCGACATCAGCAATTTCAAAGCGACAGATGAGCCGTCGCACCAGTACACGAATCTGCTTAAGTTTTGCAGTCTTTTACAAAAGACTAGGGTAGTTCATCTCACCCAAGTGTTTAGTGTGAGTATTTTTGTAGCCGACTGTTTGGCACAAGAGGGTTTTTCGGTCCCCTTTGACGTTCACTTTATGTCTTCTTCTGACCCCGAGATCCACCAATAGATCATGTATACGTTATGGGCATATCTAGACTCCGTCACATTAATGTTATGAGGTAAGGGTACTTTGCACATTTCTTTGATTAAAAAAAAGTTTGACCTCACTAGAGCCATTCCCCTCACCTTGAAGTTCCTCCCAGGGTCGGGGCTTGTGGTGTGCGGACAGGTTCTTCAAATTATAGTGCCATCTAGGACATGTATTATGTATAGGGAAATTAATATTATCAAGAACCAATTGATCCCAATAACTCGAGTTGTTGGTAGAGGTTCAATAATAGATCTTATACCTCTCACTAACACACCCCCTAAAATGAAAGCCAGTCAACTCATAAGGGTTTTCTTTTGAACATGTACTTAATACTAGAATACATGTGCTTCACAAATGGGGCCACAAGATTTCGAGCACAAAACCTCTCGGCTACAGAAGACTCTGATACCATGTAAAGAATCAGTTGGTCCTAGGGCTGATAAATCGATTATCGGTTACCGGTTAACTAGCGGTTAACATTGATAATCGGCAGTTTTCGGTTATCCGATAACCAATTTACCAGATGTTCGGTCGGTGTTAGGATGGTTGGAGAGATAGGTCAGTTAACCGGCTAAACGACGCCGCCCCAACCAAAAGTATAAAACCCGCTAACCCTAATCCCCTTCCCCTTCTCCCATTATTTCCTCACCTCCATCTCGATCCCTTGTCCTACCAGCGGCTGCGCGCAGACGAAGCATAAATAAATCCAACTTCGTCGCCGGCACAACGACGTCGTCACCCGCTTGGCCACCCCGACACCGTTGCCTCCCCGCGCCCTCACCTCCGCTGCGCGACATCGCCTTTCCACCCGCGGCCTCGCCTTCCTCCGCACCTTCCTCCGTCCCAGACAGAGCATAGACAGTCAGTCAGACTAGACAGCAACGAGACCTCCATCGCCTGACTTTCTCCGACCGACAGACTTTCTCCGGTGAAATCCTTCAATCGTACTCGCTGCGACCCCCCTGCAAAAAAAGTATCACTCAATCAGTGGGCTAGTGGTAGTGTTTTCGTCTACCACTATCACTAGTACCACTACTAGTAATACGCTACCAGTGATAGTGGTACGCTACCACTAGAGACTAACACAAAAAACCAGATTTGGAATCTGGAAAATCACAGATCTGGGAAAAAAATCAGGGGATGAGGAAAGGGAGAGGCGGTGAACTTGCGGCGGCGACGATGGTGGGATACGGAGGTTGCGACAGTAGTGGGAGGTGGACGGTGTGACAAACGACGTGGGAGGGCTCGGCAGAGGTTGGAGGGAGGCGGAAGGTTGTGGGACAACGTCGTTGGAGGGCTCGGCAGGGGTTGGAGGGAGGCGGAAGGTCGCGGGACAACGTCGTTGGAGGGGGCGACAGGGGTGGAGGGAGGCGGAGGGGGGAGGTAGCGGCGAAGCTCGGCGGCGACAACGGCAGAGGATCTCGACGGTGACAATGTCGTCTGCAACAGAGAGAAGAGGATGGGAGGGAGGAGCTAGGGTATTTTCTATTTATATGGGAGGGTGAATGATTGGCCGTGGTAAATTTTCCCTTCCAAAAATACCCTTCTTTAATCTTAACCGTCAATTTGAAAAAGAGAAAAAAGAAACAGGAGAGAGAGCGTATCCAAGAGCTAAGAAGTGGGTGGTAATTTATGAATCTGACAACGCCCTAACACTTGTTCCATGGGGAATTGAAACCCTGTTCAAAGAACATTAATGCAACACATAATCCGTTGAACTATAATCAATTTCAATTTAACCATTTTGTGTGCTTAAATTATTTATCAATTTCACATACTTTATTCGTAACATTCAAAATTATGGATATATTTACACGTGATATTCGAAATTCTTGAGGGGTCGGGCCCCCCGCAAGCTTACATGTAGCTTCGCCCCTGGTCTTCTCGGTATTTTATAAGAGTTGTTGTGTGCTTTCTCTTATTTCTGGTCTACTTTATAATACTTGTGGTTAGCTTTATAAGTTTTCTGATTTGTTTTAGAAACCCTGCGGTCAACTATACGATGTTTCTGGTATACTTTATGAGCTTTTGGTGCTATGAGCTTAATAGCATTTGTGGTGTGCTATTTACATTTTCTGGTATGGTTTATGAGATTTCTGGTAAACTTTATAATTTTTGTTTTGTGGTTTGTCGTGTTTATGGTATGATATGAATTTTTTGTTCTGCTTCATGGTACTTTTAATCCATACTCGTATCCTCCTATATTTATTTAAAAAAATGACAAGCGCTCTCCTAATTTTAAAATCGCCATTGATTATGGTCAAGCCCTTCAACATAAAAAGTCAACAAAAGAAAATATTTCTAATGAGAAATGAATATTAACACCATGAATCATGATCCATACTAACAAATTCGGTGTTAGCAACCTAACCTTCATCTTTTTGTTTATTTTATCGTACCTTTGCCACGTTGTTGAGGGTAAGTATATAAGTAGCAGTCTAAATGCCGGTCTAGTAGTAATGGGAGAAAACCCTAGCTACCTATCTCATCAAAATTACCTATAACCCTTGCTCCGCCGCTGCCGCCCTCTTCTTCCGCAGAGATGGACTTGTTGGGCTGGGTAGGGTTTTGATCTCTAAAAGCCTAACCCCACTAAAGAACTAGGCCCAATAGGCCCACTTAAGGAGGCCCATGGCTACACAGACGACGCGAGGCGTGGGAAGAATGGGGCCACTAGACCCTGAGCGCGAAACAGGGGGTACGGCCGATGGGACAAGAGCGGAGGTAATCATGCGACAGCTGATAGGAACAATAAATGCGGCCGCAAGCATAATCTTGGGAAAGGGAATTAAAGTACACGCATGAAAGAGGCTCAGCAGAGACACCTACTATAAATATTAAATACAGCAGAGACACATCATTTATTGGTAACTGACCTACCCACATTCTCTCTTTACTTTATCTCTCAAACACTTACTTAATCTTTGGAGAGTGTCCGAAGCTCTCCTGTCACTCGAAGAGAAGGCGTGATCCCAACTCAATCAGTCTCCAACCTGCCTGGAACATTCTTGGCTTAAACAGGACTACTCCAAACTGCCGGACGCCATACTCAAGAAGATAGCCACCGACCACTTGAACACCCTCTCAGACCACATCGCCTTCTTCCAGGTCAGCAAATCATGGAGATCCATTGCCACCGCTTCCCTCCTCCGCCGCCACGGCCGACCCGGTCTCCTCATATCCCACAAATCAAAGCCACCCATCCACACCCCGCTCGAGTTATTCCCCGTCGGCACTCCGCACTCCCTCTTGTCAGGGAAACAGTATGGAGAAAAATGGATTGAAGGCGTGATTTTGATCACTCTCCTTAGAGTGTTTATTTGCCCCCACTACTTAGTTGCTAGTAGGATTTAGGCAAACTACCCCCAGGAGTCCCTCCAATCAAAGTCAGAAAGCAGCACCTTTCGTGACTTTTGTGTTTTTGGAGAAGGAAAAACGAGGAGAAGAAGATGAACGTTGGACGAAAAGTTCGGCTGCAGAAGACGTTTTATAGTGAAAACGGCAGTTCCCTTCCGAAGGGTTACGTCGTTTCACAAAATTCAAAATCAAATAATTATCCGGATTAATTAATTAGCCAAAAATTTAAATCTGAACGCGTCGCGCAAAGTGCTAAGTGCGTAGTGCGATTTAATATGTCAAATTAAATAGCCCACACTTTTTCCAAAAGCCCACTAACCACTTTAAAGTTAACATGCCCCAATCGATTATCCCATAAATCAAATGAAGTACTTTCTATACTATAATTTGCATGCACATCGATATAAGCAGAACCATCAACTTTATTATTAATATTACCATTGTCAATACTTAGTTTAAACATACCATCACTAACATAGCCCTTCCCAACAAACATACCAGCCTTGGTCAGAATCACCCTATCAGATTCTATCACAACCTTTATCCCCTTCTTACAAAGCATGAAACCAGAAACCAAGTTCATTCTAACATCAGGAACGTGAAGGACATTGGCGAGAACAACTTTCTTTCCCGAAGTGAAGAAAAGCTCCACGGTTCCAGATCCAAGAACCTTGATCGTGCGATGATCACCCAACAGAACCTCATGTCCCTCCGTTGACTCTGTGTAGTCCTTGAACATGGCTCTCTTGTTTCAAATGTGAGCAGTTGCTCCCGAATCATACCACCAATCAGCACTAGTCATGACTCTAGCCATGTGCAATTCCTGAATCATACTCACATGTAAGTCAGAAATCATTGCAACAATCTCACTAGGCTCAACTTTCTCAATCACATTTGCACTTGCATCCCCTTCGTTCTGGTTCTTCTTTGGATTAGGACAGAAGCGAACAATATGTCCCTATTGCCCACAATTGAAACAATTCTTAGTGGACATAGGGGATGGCTTTTTATTTTTATTCTTCTGGTTGTTGGTCTGGTTGTTGGAATTATTCATGGCCTTTCTCTTCTTTCCCTTCTTGCTCTCCACAACATTCACTTTGGAACTTGATGGTGCCTCCGAATTCAGCTCCTTGTCACGGATACGAGTTTCCTCCTTGATCCTAAGGTGCTTATGAATCTGCTGCAAACTGAACTCCTCTGACGTATGAAGTAATTTCTTCCTATAGTTGTTCCATGATGGAGGCAACTGCGTAATAATTGCCCCCACGAGAAACGCATCAGGAAGTGTTATCTTCAATGCAGTGAACTTAGAGGCCAAGATTAGGAATTCATGAACTTGATCCAGAATTGAACGCTTATCAGTCATGCTAAATTCAAAGAACTGGAATGTGACAAACTTATCTGCGCCTTGTTTCTCCGATTTGTATTGGTTATCCAAAGATGTCCAAATCTCAGTAGGGGTCGCCAACTAGGAATACAGATCGTAGAGACGATCAGAGAGTGAATTGAGGATGTATCCTCAGCCTTCAATTCATCAAAGTCAGTGTCTTGTGGTTCTTCTAGCGGCACCAAATCAGGATCCAGTATGTACACGATCTTCAAAGCAGTCAACAGAAATTTCATCTTCGCTTGCCAACGGGTGAAATTGGTTCCGTCAAAGCGACTGAGTTTGTTGGAATAAGAGGCATACGCCTTCAAAGTGCTCTCCACTCCAGAATCCATTGTCACACGAAAATAAACACTCTAAGATTGTCAGGGAAACAGTATGGAGAAAAATGGATTGAAGGCGTGATTTTGATCACTCTCTTTAGAGTGTTTATTTGCCCCCACTACTTAGTTGCTGGTAGGATTTAGGCAAACCACCCCTAGGAGTCCCTCCAATCAAAGTCAGAAAGCAGCACCTTTCGTGACTTCTGTGTTTTTGTTTTTGGAGAAGGAAAAACGAGGAGAAGAAGATGAACGTTGGACGAAAAGTTCGGCTGCAGAAGACGTTTTATAGTGAAAACGGCAGTTCCCTTCCGATGGGTTACGTCGTTTCACAAAAGTCAAAATCAAATAATTATCCGGATTGATTAATTAAAATAATTCCGGTAATTAATTAGCCAAAAATTCAAATCCAAACGCGTCGCGCTAAGTTCTAAGTGCGCAGTGGTGCGATTTAATATGTCAAATTAAATAGCCCACACTTTTTCCAAAAGCCCACTAACCACTTCATCCAATAACTAAAGTGGAAAGCAAACTTAAAAACAACTTGCACTTTCCTTCTCCCACCAATGTGGTATTTCCTTTACTCTTTGACTACTCTAACACCTCTAACCCCCACCCGCCCCTCCCTCTTTCCGCCGCCTCCCCCGACGCTGTGAAAAAAATCCTCCAAAAAACCCCTCAACCAGCCCTCACGGGCCTCCTTCAGCGACAAGCTAGCGAGGAACCAGTGCGTGGGGTCCAAAGATGGGTGGCTGCTCCTCCTCCACCCGGGGAACCGCCGCCGCCGCAACAACACCTACCTCTTCCGCTTCTACCTCCACAACCCAATCACCTCCTCCCACGTGTCCCTCCCGGACCTCACCCTGGAGAACAAGGACAACGAGCCGACCATCTTCTGCACCGTCATCTCTTCCTCCCCTGATGATGACGTGGAGCAGGACTGCCACGTGTTCGTCGGACACGCTGGCTTGGTCCTCCACCGTGGGTCGAGGAGGGCAAAATTGGAAACTCGCAGCCCTTCACGAGCTCGACATGGACTACATCGTCAAGGACACGTCCTACTCCCGAGGCAAGCTCTTCCTCGTAGGTTCGGGCAATCGTTTCGTCGTTGTTGACGTCATATTTGGTAACAATCACATCTACCACAGCGATGACATGAACAAACAGATCATCAAGGTGAAACCTAGTTCCCAAGTGTTTTATCTGTCAAGAGAAATGTTAGATAAAGGGGACCGGGAGGATGAAAGCAGGTTCAGTAACTTGTGCCATCTCGACGATGATTTCCCACTCGTTATTATCAGTCGTTGCACCAAGGATGGGGGCGTCACGTTCCGATGTTACAAGCTGGTACTGCTAGAGCGAGGTGGTGGAGTTTGCTCTAGAGACGAAGGGATTGAGTGGAAGGAAGTGACAAGCTTGCATGGGTTTTCTGTGTTTCTGGGGTCTCACAAGTCCTTCGCCCTTGGTGGTGTGGCTGATAATAATGGTGTGAATTATGGGGTTGGTGCAAATCGGGTGTACTTCTCCTTCTGTTTTGCCGAGCATGGTTTGTTCATGAATCATGAAATGTTTTGGTCATGCCACCAGAACAAATGTGGCGTCTTGGATCTCGGTGGTGGTGGAGAGGTAGTGGAGTGGTTTCATCCTTGTCGTGGTCTTGGTGATCACAACTATGTTTGGTTCCTTCCTTCGCCATGGTAAGTATAGTTACTTGTATAATTTACCAATACTTAGTCATCTTATTCTATCTACAGAGGCTGTCATTTGTGAAGAGAGTATCTAATAAATTATTCAAATGGGTATGAATAGACTAAAAGTCCAATTAGATCCATTTGGGTCTGACCGTGAGTCAAATTTGACTCGGATAGAATTCACTTAAGATCCAAGTCAAATCCAAAATCATTATGAGTTCATTTAAGTTCGATTCAATACCTTATATTGGATAACGACAATTGAGTCCAATTACTTAATAAGTCTACCCAATGAGTAGTAAATTAGCAACTTAATTATGACGGAGGGACAAAGATATAGAATGGGTTGGTAGGAGGAACTTGGAAGAACATATGATCTCATATCTATATGGCAATGACATACCGATTGTTCTCACGACAAGGGGCCTTTAATTTACACATGGCATTCGTTTCATTGTTAATATACCAAAGAATAATTTTTGCAGGGAAATTATTAGGTACATGCAACAAAGGAAGGCCAAGAAACCGGATCGCCTGCCCGGCAAGAAGGACGAGATATATGATAATTAATTACTAGTAGCATATTGATTTTTAAGGAGGAAGGGTGCGTCTGTACTGGAGTGGGGCTTCTTGATTGAAGTGGGAACTGAGAAAATATTACTGTGGTAAGTAAAACTACGATCACCTCCACTTTCACTTTCCAGTATTGCTAATGCTACTGCGTGGAAACTCGTTGTTGGACAATGTTGTTTTAATTCACTCTTTGAAAAATGTTCATCTCTTGTGTGTTTATGAAACTTTGACTCGTTGTTGGACAATTTCTCTACCAAATACGGAACGCTGAGTCTTTATTTGTTGATGTAAGTAATACATGATTTGATTTAGAAGTTCATTCAATGAGTCATAAATATCGACTCATGCTCAGACTTATCATGAAATTGTGTTGAAAGTTCCAAACATTTAGCATACCAATTAATGATATGGTTCAATTATCTAATTCTGACTTATATAGTTGGTGGAGGTCTGTAAGTTTTTATATAGGATCTTGTGTCGAGATTTCTGAACCAATACATACACTCAGTTCATTATTGTATGACATGCATCAGTCTATCCGTTTTTAATGTCTAATTTAATCCTCAAACAATAATTATTGTTAAAAATGCACAGAGAACAATGATTGATGATTTTGATTTATTGAGATATATCCAATGTGTCATATCCATCAGATGATGATTTAGAGAATTAGGGTATATGAGTTCAGTCACTCTAGTTAGATTGCATTTATAGTATACCCCAAGTTTTGATTAATTCGTGGTATAGATAACATTACTTTACTAAGGGCATGATGTAACCCCAAATTCAACAAGCGCACAATATAATTTCTCGTATATATACATAATTGATTCGTTAATTCAAAGATTAGTTAGTGATATTGGACACATATATTGACTAATGACATTTAGTCTTTCACTTATTTGTTATGATCCTCAACCCTTAGTGCAATTATTAGCGAGTGATTTTTGTGATTCTTTTGAAAATATGTTCTTGCGGAACCATTGCATTCTCTTATACTCATATGTGATAATAGCTAGACCAACAAATGTCAAATTTTGTATTTTGAAATAAATATTTGTATACTATTCGAGAATAATCCGTCTCTTCCCGCAAATTAAAGACATGTAACATAAATCAATTTATGAGTTAAACATAAAATTTGTTGTTTGATTCTCAATTAAAATGTTTGTGATTAGAGATATAAAATTAAGTTGATTTATATTTTATAGAGCTAGGCATATCAGGATGAAGAGTTTGGTAGAAAACTAAAAGTCATTGGTTACTTGAACGCTTGAGTAATGCAGCGAATAAACCCTATGATTTCGAGATATATAGCTTATTTTATAACTTTAATTGAAACACACAAAAAAATTGTTACAGTTTAGTTGGCTAGTAATCTTGAATTTCACTTAAAAGACTTGAGTTCATGTCTTAGTAATGGATAGTATTTTCAAAAATATGTTTAAGTACAAATTTTTCAATTAAAAATTTAGCCTTAAGGAAATTTGAGGAAGGCAAATTTTGAAATGAAGGAAAATAGACGAACTTCTATTGTATATTGTTGGAGGATTACATTAAACCCAATGATATAAATTATTTGATTTCACTTATAATCTATAGTTGTTTTAAATTAAAAAACATATGCTTGTTGATCATTGACTTTGCTAAATTTTCTTATCTTTTATTATTTGAGAGAAAGTGAGCTCTGCTTTCTCGAAACCCTTTCCCGAGTTCAACGAGCCGAAAGCTAAGGTTATCTTCGTGATCACTAATCATGGCGGCACCCCGTCGTCTGGGACGGTGGTGCCGACTAGTAAGCCCCCAGATATCAATAGTTGGGTACAGCGGCCCCCACCGTGTTCCTCTTCGTCAGACGGAAAGTGCAAAAGGAGACGTTGCAAGCAAAGAAGAAGTTTCGACCCATGAATCTTGATCCAAATAACTAAGCTAAGGTAGGCAGTGGTGCAACTGGAATGGAAACAGAGGAGGGTAACACACGAACACAGCCCCCCATGAACAGGTGGAACGACTCATCAACTAGGCTATTCAGTTATGTCCTTAAGGAAGAGAATTGGTATGTGGAGGATTCTGATTCGGAAGACGTAGCTCAATGGGAAAAAGAGGAGGACGATGTTCCAAATATTGAAAAAGAGGATCCTAAATGCCCAACGATACCGTTCACGGCGTCGCACTAAGCCGATCAACACTTCAGTTTTGCTCTCTACCGCCCCCATCCTCTCTCTCTCTCATCACAAAATCCAGAATGCCCAGGTGTCACCAAATGAAGAAGACGGTGGAGGAGATCGGAGATGTGGTGCTCAAGAAGATGAAGGTAGACCAATACAAGTCATTCCATACCAAGACTCTCGAATTCATCTTGGGGGGCGCAAGTTTGGTGACTTACTTGGCATATTATGAGACAACAACGGGTGGCCCTTCCATTACCAAGAGAGAACTCGAAGAGGCCACCAATACACTCCATCAGTCCAAGGAAGCTACGAAGGTGTTTTTTTTTTAAGAAGGGTACTTTGGGGGATGCCAATCGAAGGCTCCTTGAGTAACTCTAGATATGCCAAAAGAACATTGACAAGGAGAAAAAGAAGAAGAGTCCTAATGGTGAGGCCTATGAGATCTGATATTAACTTCCAAGGTTGTTTCTTAACTTTTAAACTACTACCACAACACAATTAGTTAAGAATTTATATACATTTCTGTTTCTAGATTAATACCTTGGACAAATGAATCATGTAATAAGATCTTAAAAACCTGTCAATATCACATTTTGTCTCCTCAAAACCCCCATAGCATTTTGGTGTCTCACTCAGCCGATCAACACTTCAGTTTTGCTCTATGCCGCCCCCTCCTCTCATCTCAAAATCCAGAATGCCCAGGTCTCGCCAAATGGAGTAGCTGGCAAAGTAGATCGATCGGAGACATGGTGCTCAAGAAGATGAAGGAAGACCAATACAAGTCATTCCACACCAAGGCTCTCGAATTCATCTGGAGGGTGCAAGTTTGGTGACTTACTCGGCATATTATGAGACAACAACAAACGGTCGTCCCATTACCAAGAGAGAACTCTAAGAGGCTAACAATATACTCATTCTTCGGTCCGAGGAAGCTACGGAGGCAGCTGGTTTGAAGAAGAAAAACAATAGCTTGGGGATGCCAAACGAATGCTCTTTGAGAAGCTTCAGATCTACCAGAAGAACGTTGACAAGGAGAAGAAGAGTACAGATGGTAAGGCCTAAGAGATCTTATTTTTTTGCGTGGTCATTTCTAGACTTTCTCACTACTACCATAACACAATTAATTAAGAATTTATATGTATTTTTGTTTCTAGATTAACACCTTGGACAAATGAATCATAAAATAAGATCTTAAAAAGCGTGCCAATAGTAACTTTTGTCTCCTTAAAACCCCCCTTAGCTTTTTGGGGTCTCACTCAGTAGTAACACTTCACTTTTGCTCTTTGCCGCCCCCTCCTCTCTCTCTCATCTCAAAATCCAAAATGCCTAGGTTTCGCCAAATAAAGAAGCTGGCGGAGGAGATCGGAGATGTGGTGCTCTAGAATATGAAGGAAGTCTAATACAAGGAGAGAACTCGAAAGGCTAACAATACATTCCTTCTTCAGAAAGAAGCTACAGAGGCAACTTTTTAGAAGAAGAATAGTAGGTTGGGGGATGCCAATCGAAGGCTCCTTAAGCAACTCCAGATATGCCAGAAGAACTTTTACAAGGAAAAGAAGAAGAGTACCGATGGTGAGGCCTAGGAGATCTGGTATTTTCTTCTAAGGTTTTTTCTAGACTTTCTCACTACTACCACAACACAATTAGTTAAAAATTTAGATGTATTTTTGTTTCTAGATTAACACCTTGGACACATGAATCATAATAGGATCTTAAAAAGCCTGCCAATAGTACCTTTTGTCTCATTAAAACCTTCCTTAGCTTTTAGGGGTCTCACTCAGTCGATCAACATTTCAGTTTTGCTCTCTGACGCCCCTCATCTCTCTCTCTCTCTCTCTCATCTCAAAATCCAGAAATGCTCAAGTCTCGCAAAATGAAGAAGTTGGCGTTGGAGATGTGGTGCTCAAGAAGATGAAGGAAGGCTAATACAATCCATTCCACACCAAAGCTCTCGAATTCGACTTGAGGGCACAAGTTTGGTTACTTACTTTTCATATTATGAGACAACAATGAGTAGCCCTTCGATTACCAAAAGAGAACTTGAAGAGGCTAACAATACACTCCTTCTTCGGTCCAAGGAAGCTGCGGAGGCAGTTGTTTTGAAGATGAAGATTAGGGCTCCTTGAGAAATTCCATGGTTGTTTCTAGACTTTCTCACTACCGATGAAGAAGAAGAAGAGTATCGATGGTGAGGCCTAGGAGATACGATATTTATTTCCATGGTTGTTTCTAGACTTTCTCACTACTACCACAACACAATTAATTAAGAATTTATATGTATTTTTGTTTCTAGATTAACACCTTGGACAAATGAATTATGTGATTATGAGTGAAGAAGGGGGGAAAGGCAAAGACTTTGTTTCTCCCCCTCGTATTGGCGCCACAGGAACAACTTTAGCTTTGGCGGAATCGGAATATCCCAGATTCACATCCAACTTGTTTCACCCTTTATTGCATGTCCTCCAAAAACTCAAGATGATATGTAGACTTGACAGTGAACATCCCATCACATGTATCATTCCAAACCAATGTATCATCAATCTCCACACAAGGTAAGAGAATCGCTTTAATGGCACAATCTGGTGGAAACATTTGCAAAAGAGATTGTTGAAACCATCTTCCTCTCCTTGGAACCATAAGCTCTGCCACCTTAGGGTCACTACCTTCCGAAATTGCATGAGGGTTACAAGGAGGAGGTTGTGGATGAGAATGAGGGACCCAACTAGAATTGTGGATAGAGACTTGAAGCCCATTCCCAATCTACCATCACAACCCTCTTTGAATAAGAAGGCGACCAATGACGAACGAGATCACGTAGTCACTATAAGGAATGAACCTGTTGGGAAGTGTTTCCCTTTGTAAACCGAGGCCAAAATAGAATCAGGTTTGTTGAGAATTCACCATCCAATCTTAGCCAAGAGAGTCTGATTAAAATAAATAAATCTCATTCCCCATCATGTTTACTCCGACACAAATTCCGCCAATAGATCCATCGAACACGGGGATGACCTCGTTCAACTCCCCACCAGAATCTGGCCACATGCTTACCCAGAATACGACAGAAGGATAGAGGAAGCTTGAAGCAAGACATACCATGAAGTGGTAAAGACGCCACAATTGATTTAATGAGCGTCTCCTTTGCCGCCCACGAGAGCACCTCCTGTTTCCAGTCTTGTAAACGGTGCAACAAATCTCTTCCAGAGATCAGAATGTAGCATAAAGAAAGCAAGCATTGGTTCGGTTTTCTCAAGCAAAGGAAGAGTCACTCGGGAATGAGTCCCCCTAGCTCCTTAGTTAGGTCACAATTGTAATTAACCTGGGTTGATTTACTGTTGATTAGACTGCGGAAAATCCGACAGTAGCTTGGAATCTCTTAAGCTGACCAAGCCCTCTCAGTCTAACTACCTGGCAGACGACTAGTCTTCACCGGGATAGAAAGCTGAAGCAATAAGCACATAACTCCACTACTGGAATTGGATTCTAGTAGAAAGCAGTAAACTGGCTAACTCTCGTATAGCCAATCTCCTACTACCGAATGAAGAAGCTCTAACAACCTAATCATATTCTATCTATCTCAGGTTGCAGCAGAAATCAAGAAAAGCTGATCAGACTTCAATCAATTCATTGAAACATGCATCATTCGATTAAAACCAAACAGTATAATCATCCCAAGTCATTACAATCAAATCCCTAACACATGGAACTAGGGTTCTTCATACCCAAGTGAGAGAAGGGTTCTACTCCATAGAGAGAGAGAGAGGTAAACAGAAATCACAGTAGTCATACTCATAAAGATGAGGAAAATCTGCTCTGGGATGTCAATCTTCACTCCTGGGGACGCAATCTGGGCTTCAATGGTGAGAAATCCACTCCAAATAGCTCCTAGGGTTTGTTCTTCGTCCTTTCTCTCTCTAAAACTCTGTTTTTGCTATGGAAAGTCGACTCCTCTCATTTGTGGCTCGAAATTAGGTAAAAACCAGAATTCCCAACTCACACGGGCAGGCCACACGACCGTGTGGCTTACCCAGATGCCCGTGTGAGAGACAAAACGCGGCGTTTCAAATAATTGGACTTCAGGATACCTACACGGCTAGGGACACAAGACCGTGTGGCATGCCCAGTCTGCCCGTATGAAGG